AAAAAGGAAGAAGAGAAAACTCAATAATTATTTTCATTACTTCTAGAGGTTTTCCCATTATTTGAAAATTTTAAGTCATGATACTGAGTAGCAGTTTTTGGAGTGAGATACTTTTATTTCAAATTGCTATGACTTATTGAAAATAATTGCTTAATTAGAACATTAAGATTCTCCTTAGATATTGCATAAATTACAAAATGCTTAAACACAAAAATAGTACGGGCTAAAACACAGCAATAATATTATCAGAGGTTTGAACACATACTTTTCCAGCTTTACATTGACTTCAACCATTTTAACTTAACCAAAAATTTGGGTTAAGTGGCAGCTACAATCTTTTCACAATGTTAACATTAAAAACAGTTGAAATTTAAGGTGAGATTTACAAAAGCACAATGGTCTGGTCCCAAAAAATATCAATGAAACTCCTAATAGTCATGTTGGCAGAGTCAACCTTGTAATTGCACTCATTACTCTGATCAGTCCTAACTGATCTGTATTTGCCATTACAGACCTGATTCAATTCATACTAAACCCAAGAGAGTCTCTGTAACTTTTTGTGGGCAAGAATGATACCCTGCAGTGCAGCCTGATGACACAAAAACAGAGGAAGAGCAGAACTCTTCCAGTTGTAGATGGAGACCAGCCCACAGGCTATACCAGGCCTTTTCCAGTGCTGCTGCACATTTTCCCTTCCAGGGTGACTCAGCTGCTCTAGAAAGTGCAGCGGTGGAGTGAGGTCAGAGAATTTTAACCTCTCCCTCCCTCCCTCCTCATCCTCCTACTCCCACACTGAACAGGAAATGGCAGCTTATTAGCAGCTGTTTTCTTCCTTCTACAAAAAGCAGAAACATAAGTGGGTCATAGTAGAGTAAGGAGCTTGTTCAGTGATGCCTAGTGATCCATGTGGGAGCTGGATGGAGTCCTACATCGCTTACCCTTCACTCACTTAGACGACCTGTCTGTAATTATTAACTGATAGCATGAAGCCTGACCAACCATAACGTTCCCCATGTAACACAGAAATACACTTTATCTTAAACGTTGTCTTCTGTAGAAGCCCTCAAAAATGGAGATCTGTTCCAAAATTTCATCTTTTGGTTTTCAGTAAAACTGAGTAACCCATAAACTTACAGACATGGGAGCTGTCTCAGGCCAAGGCACTTAATTTTGCAATAGGACAGAAGCCCTGACTGAGCAGTGGCTGTAACCCAAAATGCTGAAGTATATCTCTAAAAAGTGACAGAGCTCTACTTAAGACCGTAAGACACACATAAGCTAACGTATGTCCTTAAGTAGCTGACTGAAGTGAGAAGAAAAGTGCCTGCTAGTGAGACTGAAGTATATGCTTAAACGTTTCGCTGAAGTGTGTTACACAAAAGATTGCAACCTGACTACATATTATTATAAAAACAGGTCAACCTTAAACTAAGTTTATGAAGCATAAAACCATAAAAGCAAAAGGAAGTCTATTTGCTTCCAAGAAGGCTACAATAAAAAGGGTAATACCAATTTAGTGAAGTATCAGAACAGGGCAAAACTATATGGGACTACTGTGGGACTAACTTTGCCTGTTGAGGCACCACCACAGATATCACTTAACTAACAACTTCCTAATGATTTACTTGACTCCCAAGTTTTTTCATCCAATATCATATAAATTTGTACATGTAGATATATATGCATACTCTTTCTAGCACTGAACCATTCTCATTGTTGTAAAAATAAAAATACTTGATGAACATAAATCCTTCAGCATCCACTCCATACTTCCATTAAGTCTTATAATAAATGTACATTTATCTTTGAAAACTGTTTACTCTACAGAAGTATAACACTTTGATACTGGCATGAGGCTTAGTTTGACACCTATGTCCTGAGGACACTTAGGCACAGATCCAAAAGAGATTTGGAGGTTTCAGTTGTGTGCCTAAATTCAAACTGAACATTTATAAAATTCTAAGAGGCTCTAAGATCACTTAAACACCCTCAAAACTCCAACTTTATCACCTAAAGTTCTTAGAAATCTGAAAATTCATCATTTGCACCCATGCAGAATTGCCATAAGACATGAATAGCATCACATGGAGAATGATTCCTAAATCAAAGCTGGCCTAGGAAAAACAGCTACACTGCTACCAAAGCTCCCTAACAGATTTAATGAATATTCCTGAAGCATACATCTACCAAATTATGTTCTTGATATAATGCAGTGACATA